GAAGGAAGGAAGGAAGGAAGGAAGGAAGGAAGGAAGGAAGGAAGGAAAAGAAGGGAGGGGGGAGGAGGGAGGGAAGGAAATGTCTGTGGAAACTCATCTGGGTTCAAGAAACAATTTTTTAAACTTCTTTAAGAAGTCTACAGGGAAAGGAAACTAATGTCCCACAGGACAGAGGAACAAATGGCATGTCCAACTTTGGAGGGTGCAATATATTTGGCAGTAGTTTATTTATTCTGTTTATTATGTCAACTGGAACATAAATCGTATTTATAAATTCTAGTTCTCCTATATTCTGTCAAAAACCTTAATGCATTTTTAGGCATTTAAGAGTAAAATTAAACTTTCCCCCAAACGTTATCTGTCAAAGTTACCTTCAGTTGCTCAGAGATCAATTCACCCTTTACAAATCTCAAGTCATTTGAATGGTGGAATATCCTTGTTTTTTAAAATATATTCTCAGAACCTTACTTCTTTTCTGCACACAAAATTCATATATAGTACTCAATTGAGATTTTTCTGTTTCAGAAAACTGTAATTCAACACAGCATACATGTTGTTTCCATTCATATTACCTGATGCTAAGGAACTGTCTACATCTTCCGTCCAGAATGACTTCAGGACTGCTTATATAATATTGAGCTTAAGATATTATTTATTACATAAAACCAGAAAGCTCTCAAATGCTACTTTGAACACCATGCAACATTTGAAAACTATTTTCAAAATATCATTTGCAGATGTTCTTGAAACAGCCACCAAATGTATCATGCCAGTAGTATCAACCAACAAGCATTTAATTGTTTCCAAGAAAGATAACATGCAAAATAATAGTAATAATAATAATAACAACAACGAAGAAGAAAGGTTATTTCATCAAAGTGCCACATTATTTGAAATATGTCAAAATTTTAATCAAACGAGGATCTTGCGCTTACAAATGATTTAGAACAATTTCCCATTATTCTGCTGACGGAAATGTCAACTTTTGGATGAAAAACTATCCATGGGTTTCAAACCAGAAGCAAAACATTTCAGTTGCAAATAAACCTCATGTCAAATCAAATTAAATGCTAATGCTTAATTCTGAGGCTCTAATTAAAACCAAGTTATGCATGGCTCAGTTATATTTCAAATAATGACAGTTCTAATGACTCACCTCGTGTTTTCCAAGGCATTGCCTGCAAAGAAAATATAAACAAGCTCAATTTATTTAAACGTGACTCCATTTTGGTTCATCGGAATTGCTTCTATGGGAACTCTTGGGAGTGATTCCCTCAGATGGGCCAACTTGTTTGTCTTTGTAGATGGGCAAAGAGAAAAGACTGGAGAAAAGCGTGGAGAACCTGCATCAGTTAGCCTGTTTTAATCTGTTCTCATAGGAAGACTCAGGGAGACGAGAGAAAAAGAAATAGGTTCTGGGAGTTAGACGAATTGTAATATCTGCCAAGGAAATATATGGCAGGAGACTTGCCAAATTGCCATTACTGGATAAGAAGAATGTTCATTTTATTTAGTTTTGTCTTGCCTTTATTACTTTTTTTACAAACAACTCAAGGTGGGGAACATATCTAAAGTTCCTTCGTCCTGTATTTTTCTCACAACAACAACCCTGTGAGGTGAGGTGGGCTGAGAGGGAGCAACTGGCTCGAACTCATCCAGTCAGCTTTCATGCCTAAGTTTTTCTTAAAAAAAAAAAAGGAGTCCCTGGGGATTTTAATTCACTAATCACTGCCAACTGTAGGGGGCAGTGTTTATCTCCATTTCAAAGGGCATGGAGGCAGTGCCACCTGAAGACATTTCTGAGAGATCATGTGACCAACATATCATGGCGCACTATTACCTTACCACATAAGCGATACCTATTTACCTACTCGCATTTGCATGCTATCGAACGGCTAGACTGGCAGGAGCTAGGGCAAGGGTGGGATTCAAACTTTTTAACAAACGGTTCTGTGAGCGTGGCTTAGGTGGTGCACGTGGCTTGGTGGTCATGTGAGTGGGTGGACGTGGCTTGGTACTCATGTTATTGGCTGGGTGTGGCCAACTCAATATCACTCACATCAAGGCACACATCTCGCCTGGCCTCTCATGACTGTGGGGATGCTACAACAGTCATAAGTGTGAAAAATGGTCCTAAGTCACTTTTTTCAGTGCCATTGTAAATTTGAATGGTCACTCCACACAAGCAAAGTACCAGCAAAGGAGGGGAAAAAAACTCCAGAGATGTTCCTGAGACAGGAAGTCTAGTCCTGCCAAGAATGTAATAAGGGTCAATGGAGAGGCAGTTTCTGTAAGCAACACCAGAATGTTTCCTTCCTGCCTTTCTTACAGGATTAGGCCAGTAATTTCTTCTAACAACTGGTTCTGTGAACTGCTTAGAACGTTAACAACCAGTTCTAGTGAATAGGTGCGAACTGGTTACAATGGCACTGAAAAAAGTGACTTATGACCCTTTTTCACACTTACGACTATTGCAGCATCCCCACAGCCATGAGAGGCCAGGCGAGGAGATGCGTGCCTCGATGTGAGTGATATTGAATTGGCCACACCCGGCCAATAACATGACCACCAAGCCATGTCCACCCAGTCACATGACCACCAAGCCACACCGACCACCTAAGCCATGCCCACAGAACCGGTTGTTAAAAAATTTGAATCCCACCCCTGCCTCTAACTCCACCCTTGTGAACAAATAACTTTCTGATTACTTTCAGACTGGTAGCTCCTAAGAAACTCCTGCGGAGGTGGAAGAGCAATTACAGTGGTTGAGTAAGCTGAAATTAAAACCAGAAAAAAGGCAGGGACTGTTGGTAAGAGAAAACTGGAATGGATATACTTCATCCCGTTCAGTTTGGCCTTCATAAATTGTGTCCCATTTAAACACAAATAAACTGCAGTGGCTCAGTGGCTAAGAGGCTGAGCTTGTTGATCAGAAAGGTTGGCAGTTTGGCAGTTTGAATCCCCTAGCACCACGTAATGGAGTGAGCTTCCGTTACTTGTCTCACCTTCTGCCAATCTAGCAGTTCGAAAGCATGTTAAAAATGCAAGTAAAATAATAGGGACCGCTTGGGTGGGAAGGTAACAGCGTTCCGTGCGCCTCTGGCGTGTAGTCCTGCTATCCACATGACCACGGAGACGTCTTCGGACAGCGTTGGCTCTTCGGCTTTGTAACGGAGATGAGCGCTGCCCCCTAGAGCTAGAAATGACTAGCACGTATGCGCGAGGGGAACCTTTACCTTAAGCTGCAATACAGGTTGTTCTCAACTTAAAACCACAATTGAGCCCACAATTTCTGTTGCTAAAGGAGATGTCTGTTAAGTGAGATTTGCCCCATTTTACGGTTTCTCTGGCTGCAGTTGCCAAGTTAGTAGCACGGTTGTTAAGTGAATCTGGCTTCCTCATTGACTTTGCTCGTTGGAAATTTGCAAAAAGGGAATCACCTGACCCCGGGATACCACAACAGTCATAAATATGAGTCAGGAGTCATATGGATGCCGCAATGGTCATGAGTGTGCAAAATGCTCATAAGGGACTGATTCCAGTGCTGTTGTAATTTTGAATGGTCACTAAATAAACTGTTGTTAAGTGGAAGATTACCTCTACTATGTACAAGTAATCCTCAACTTACGACCGCAATGGAACCCAAAATTTATGTGACTATGTGAGGCATTTGTTAAGTGAGTTTTGCCCCATTTTATGACCTTTTGTCCCACAGTTGTTAAGTGAAATGCCGGAGTGTTGATAAGTTACTAACCCAATTGTTTAGTGAATCTGGCTGCCACAATGACTTTGCTTGTTAGAAGGCCACAAAAGGGGGAAATCACATGACCCTGGGACAGGACAACCGTCATAAATATGAACCAGTCGCCAAGCATCTGAATTTGAATCACGTGACCATGGGGATGCTGCAACAGTCGTAAATGTGAACAACTGTCATGCCCCTGTCGGAATCTGAATCCGAGGAGGAAGCTGAACAGCTGACAGGGAGTGGGAGTGTAGCTCCATTGGCTGTGGAGGAAACTGGGGAAGGGCAAAGTCTGGCTGGGCAGAGCAGGGGAGAGGTAGAACAAGGGAGAGGGAATTGAGAGGAAGACCCAGGCCCACCCCCTTTTCATCCTAGGGCATACAGGGAGGAATAAAGATGAGAGCAAAATGGGTTACATGGCTTACGGGGGAGGAAAGGGCCCTGATTCCCTTCATTAGCTGCAGCTGGGAACACAGTTGTATAAAAAAAGGCAAGCTGTGGGCGGCAGGCTGTTGGGGGCAAACGTGACTTTATCTTGTATTGTTGTGGCTTATCTGTGTTCCTGGTGTCTTCCCAACTGTGTGAGTTTTGCCGTGCTTTCAAGCCTGAAATTCTTGCTCCTGCTCTGCTAAACTAATTACTTCGCTTTGGCTTGTTTGGACTTTTAAGTTACAGTTTATGTTTACTCTGTTTTGGACGTAATTTCTGCAGTCAAAGGCTGTTTCTGGGAGAGTTTTTCTCCAGCCAGAAGGTAACCTGGACATTGGGGGCAAAGTTGGAGATAATAAAGGGACTCTTATTGATTATCTGACAGTGTTGCCTTTGTGCCACGACCCGGGTCATCACAACAATGATCGTGTCACTTTTGGTGTTTTTGTAACTTCGAACGCTCGCTAAACGAACTGTTGTAAGTTGAGGACTACCTGTATTTCTATGTGTTGGAAGTAGCAAAACAACTAAACATAGTTAAAATAACTCACGTCGGTATCGGGACTTTGCATGGAGGACAAGGCAGTGCTTTCTGGATAAAAGCAGGCGCGGTGGGCTGCTCCCAGGGGCCTGCGGGTTGATGCTATAAGGGGGGAAAAAATCAACAGATAAGTCCAACTAAGTTTGGCTTTACTGATTTATTTGAAATTAATACAGAATCGTTAAGTTCAAAGCAGGCTGTGATGATGAATCACAAGTGCATTATTCCATCTGGACACATCCACGCTCCTTCAATAACTTAAGGTAGCTTTCCATTTCCCCTTCCACAGTTCTCCATTTCAAACTATATCAAAGTAAGTTATTATCTGATGTTTTGGGTAATTCCAACATCCATCCAAGACTCACGATTCATTACATCCTACAATCTAGTCAGCGCCGATACATCGCCCGCCAAGTGAAAACATATCTTGGCTACCTACCCTGTTTCCCCGAAAAGACGACCTACCCTGAAAGTAAGTCCTAAGCTTATTACATTTTTACCCCCAAAATAAGCCCCAATTAAGATACCGCCCACTCCAGAGTGTACAGGTAAAAATTAAGCTAAGGTGGGAAATGGGGGGTGGAGCTGCCCTACTACTTACCTTTGGACAGTCACAGGCAGGCCTTGCACATCCTGACAGTTGCTTTGCCAGCACATTTCTTCTGCAGCTGGCAAGGCTGGCAAGGCTTTCCTGAAGGCCTCTGGAGCTGAGAACAAAGCTCCAGATCGATCCAGAGCTCTGTTATCGGCTGCAGGGGACTTCAGGAAAGCCTTGCCAGCCACAGAAGAAGTAGTTCCTGAAGGCCTCTCACAATGAAAAGGAGGCCGTGAGCAACGCATGCAAGTCAGTGGATGACATTCCCTGAAAATAAGACCTGGTGCCTTTTTTGGTGGCAAAAAATAACAACAATTGTAAGACAGGGTCTTATTTTCGGGGAAACACGGTAGCAGAAATGAGACAATGTGGGTCAAGAGAGCAACAAAACTTTTCAAATTTCTAAAGCCAGCAAACCCACAACATCTCTATTTGCAAGCTTTTTTTTTTTCCTGAGCTTTTAAACCCTCTTTCCTAAGAAGAGTAGAAGACACTTTGAGTATGTTACGAGCGTCTGTCTCACCAAGTCAGTTTGCTTTACAAGGGCTTCGTCGTGGCAAGAAACGGGGCACAAGTGGCCACACTTTTCCAAAACTTTCTTGCAGATCTGATGGCAAGGAGGGCAAGGGCCAAAATGGCAACTGTGTTTCTCTCGGCTAAGGTGATGGCAAGTTGGTGGCTGCCTAGAACAAGAAAAATTAAGAAATTAGCCCAACGATTTGACTTATCGCTATAGTCATTTGGCATGATGCATATTCATGGTTAGAATTTATAGAGCCTGAAATAGTTTGAAAGAACTAACTGAAAGAACATGTCTTACCGAAACCTTGTTGTTAGGAATAACAAGGTTACCTAACGTAGTTTGGGTAAAATAATATATATAAACTATAATAGTTAAGTTTAAGTGTGTGTCACTTTAAACTGCAAGGCATGTAATTTTGGGTGCAGTTGTGAAACCGCCATAAGAGGGAGCAGGAGAACCTGCTGGATTGCTGACGATTGCTGGTTTGCTGGATTGATGATTTGCTAACTGCGTGTTCCCTACTGCTGAGTTTTTGAACGTCGAAGGAATAAAGGAGGTTTGACTTCTTCATATCTCTACTGCGAGGAGATATATCACTGGACTGATATTTGTAAGTTTACTGACCTCTCTTTTTTGACACTGGACTTTGCAACTGAATAATCCCCGGACGGACTGAACTAGTGAATGATACATGGACTGTTTTGACTATGCTATAACTCTTACCGGAATAAACTATTTAACTAGCACAGTGTATCTGTTTTACTGAGTGTAAGCTACAAAAACGTTTATCTCACATATTTTGCCTGCCTGCCTGACTGCCGTGCAGATTCTGCTAGGGTGTATCCCAAACACTTGTCCACTGTTCTCAGATCGCATGCTATGTCTCACTGACGCATCTGGTTGGTTCCTTCAGTCATTCCATTTATATACTTCCATGAACAGAAGAGAAGAGAAGCTGGAAGGGGCCTTGGAGGTTTCCTAGTTCACCCCCCTGCTCAAGCAACCTATATGGGTGCAGGCATGTGTGAGCGTGCGCGCACACACTTTCGGCACACGACGACAAAAAGGTTAGCCGTCACTTGTCTAGTCTTTTCTTAAAAACCTCCAGTGATGGAGCGCCCATCACTTTAATTGTGATTGCGTGCTGTCCCAGCCAGTCGACGAGAATTGGATAGTTACTTAGGAATTATGAGCTGTCCCCTTAAGGGAATGCATGATGGTAAATGTAGTTAAAGGTATCCTGGGAAATGTAGTTCATGTCACGTGGCCACATCTGTAATCCCGATTAGTCACTAATTTGACCCTCGATGGGTTGGGGGGAGTTTTCCTCACTTTTGCCAGAACTCCCTAACTCATGGCAGCTGCTTTCTCTCGCTACGACATGGGTTAGGAGATAACCATCTTTTACTTTTCTGTCTTCTGCACAGTAGTGGATTTTTAAGCTGTGCAGATGCAGATAGATTAACTCAAAAAGACGTCAATCACAAAGTACATTTATTGGTTCATCAGGTATCCTCACAACTCACATTTGCTGTGGCACAAAAAGGGTTGGGGGCCACTGCACAAAAGGACAGCAATACAAAGCTTGTGTGTCTATCGGCTGCAGTGGAGTTAACTAAAATCTGGAAATAAAAGTTCCTAACTTTTGTAAGTTCCTACAATTTGTAACACAGGTAGTCCTCAACTTATGACCACAATTGAGCCCCAAATTTCTGTTGCTACGGGAGAAAATTCGTTCAGTGAGTTTTGCCCCACGCCACGACTTTTCTTGCCACGTTTGCTAAATGAACCACTGCAGTTGTTCAATTGGGAACAAGGTTGTTAAGGGAATCCGATTTTCCCATTGATTTGGATTGTCAGAAGGTCGCAAAAGGGGACCATATGACTCTGGGACACTGCTACCGTCACACATGTGAGTCAAGCATCCGAATGTAAATTACGTGAACATGGGGATGTTACAATGGTCCTAACTGTGAAAAATGGTCATAGGTCACTTTTTTCCCCAATGCCATTGTAACTTCAAACGGTCACTAAGCGACTGTACTCTCTATAAGTTTAATTTAAAATAAATAAATAAAACAAATAATTTAGTTTACTTTACTTTATTGTCATTGCACCTCGTACAACAAAATCAAACACCATCTTCAGTGCACATCATGGCCATGAAAATAAACCACGAACACACATCCTTCACACTCCACACATTGAACCGAAAACCCCCAACACTGCACCAACACTGCACTATATAGCAGAATTCAAAAGAGCTGCTGCCCTGGGATAGAAGCTAATGCACACTAACCTGCAGAATTCTTTGCATCTGGGGGGCTTGGTGGTACGTTCTCTCCCACAGGGTACTTTGAGAACAGTTTTGCCACAATTGCACTTCACATCCACAGTTTCAGGGCATGGATAGCAGCTGCCTAAAACGTAATGCATAGAATAGAATAGAATTCTTTATTGGCCAAGTATGATTGGACACACAAGGAATTTGTGCTCTCAGTGTACATAAAAGAAAAGAGATGTAGGGTTGTAATTGCAGGAATGTTCCTATCTTGGATGGCAAACCTCAGATAAAGAATGTTTACAAGCAAATACAACTCAGGCAAACAAAGTCACTAATCTAAAGGAGGATTAGAGAGAGGAAGTAAACATACGTTAGACTTTAACTAGAGATAATTAATTGTGTTATTTACTATGCTAAACAGTAACGAAAGTTAAGCAGTGACCAAAGTTAACCAATGATTGAGGATAACTAAAAATGTGTATAAATGCAAGACTAGACTCCAATAAAGTTCATCATGATTCAGTTGATCATGATCAAACAACTCAACTGCCTCATCATTACAACAAAGAGACATTCGTCAAGAGTCAAGACTCATCAGGTACAACACTTAATGATAGTCATAGGGGACAATAAGAAATCAAATCATACTAGGAAACAGTCAATATCAATCGTAAGGATACAAGCGACAAAGTTACAGTCATACAGTCACAAGTGGGAGGGGATGGGTGTTAAGGAGTGATGAGAAGACTGATAGTAATAGTAGTGCAGACTTTGTAAATAGTTGGACAGTGTTGAGGGAATTATTTGTTAGCAGAATGATGGCGTTCAGGAAAAAAACTGTCCTTGTGTCTAGTTGTTCTGGTGCGCAGTGCTCTATAGCGTCGTTTTGAGGGTAGGAGTTGAAACTGTTTATGTCCAGGATGTGAGAGGCCTGTAGATATTTTCACAGCCCCCTTTTTGACTTGTGCAGTGTATAGGTTCTCGATGGAAGGGAGGTTGGTAGTAATTGTTTTTTTCTGCAGTCCTAATTACCTAATTTATAATATGCATTACAAATAACCAGTTTTGAAATGAGACAATTAACAAACTTTGGAAAGTCACTGGCAGCTAACATGCCTCATGTCTCCTGATCAAAGTAACTAATTATATCAGACACATATTCAACACCATACAAGGCCTTCCTTCAGAGTTTTGAACCACAGGTATCTATTACATATTTACAATGCCTCTCAATCAATGATGATTCATGAACAATCATCTGTTAAATGATTAAAGGGGGTGCGATGGCTCAGTGCTTATTTATGATATATTTACAATGTATCTCAATCAATAATTATTCAGGAACAATCATCTATTAAACAGGGCCTTATTACAGAAAGGACAGAATTTTAGATTCCAAAATACACCCCAAAAATTCTTTGGCTTATCTGTAGATTAGAGCTGAGATATTTTAAAGCCATAGCTGACCTGGTTTCTTCATACGTTATCTTTAGCGAAGCATGCAAACCAATATTTGCATTTCATCAATTGTCAGATGAGGAGAACGCAACTTTCTCCTTCTGGCCTGGTTATTTTTACAGAGGCTCAATTGTGAGCATTTTAACAAACTGCATCACTGTTTGGTTTGTTGGTAGCAGGGCCTCAAATAGAAAGTCCATACAGAGAGTGGTAAGGACAACCGAGAAGATTATAGGAAGCTCGCTTCCCGTTATTCAGGATACTGCTTGTAAGCGCCATGCGCTTGAAGCTCAAAGCACTGTTAGAGACCCCACACACCTACTTCATGGTCTGTTTCTGTTGCTCCCCTCTGGGAGGAGGTTTCAAAGTATCTATAGCAGGACTACTAGATTCTATAACAGCTTAGTTCCTTATGACAACTGTCTTATCAATTCACAGGATTCTTTTTTTTTCACTGCCATGTATATGTATACATCCAAACTAAACTGTGATGTTTCTCCGTGTCATATATGTGTATGTGGATAAATGCATAATTGTTATATTTTGAGAGCTGAATGCAACAAAATTTCATTTTTATGTATGCTGATTAGTGTACATTTAAAGTGTCAATAAAGTTTCTATTCGTATTCCTATCCTATTCTATTTCTTTAAAATAGTGTGGTTTGATAAATGATGACATAACTGTTTGCAATTTCCTACCAGTTGCTGCAGTTAAAAATTCAAGGGGTCAATCTGTGAATGATGCACTTTCATGGTGTTTTGGCTGGAATTGCAAAGGTTGACTTATCTGTGATTATGTACAGGAAATGTTTTGCAACTGCAAGCAAGGAGTCAGATACCATTTAGTTTAAAAAGTTGGGCAGGGGGTTGGACTAGATGACCTACAAGGTCCCTTCCAACTCTGATTATCCGTTATCTGTTAGCAGGATTTCCAGCTCATTCTTACCTCTATGGCAGACTGAAGGACATTTGTGATTACGACATCCTAACGTTCGACCACAGACTTGATCACACGACGGACAATTTCCAGGACAACACTGTATCAAATACATAAATCCTCAAATTTAAAGATTGCCATATGAAATTGCAAATCTATCCAGATTTCCCTGAGTAAATGCTATCATGTATAGCAGGACTAAGTTCTAAGCAACTATCTATATATATTCTTTTGAGAACAGGCATCAAAATTTCATTTTTTAATGTGTGCCAGTGTGTTCACAGAGAAAAAAGGGACAATAAAGGTTATCTTGTCTTTTCTTTTCCTAACATATTCTTCCTCCTCTTCCTTTTTCCCTTGTATTTTTTTCAGCATATTCGTGCATGCAATCACATAGTTTCATAGATCCAAAACAAATTTAAACATTACATTTCTAAAATACAGTACTAAAACACAGTAGTAATGTGCAACATTTACCTTTCTCTTGCACTGGTGTTTCTGACAATCCCGTATTTTTGTACACTTGGTGTCACAGAGGTATGGTTTATGGCAGGGCATTTGCTTCGTATGCTTTCCACAACGACACTGCTTTTCAACTTCCTATCAAGGTACAATGGAAAGAAAAGCTAAAGCTAGCGTATGCATGTCAAAAACTACTTACCCAACTGATAACAAATTGGATGATGTGTAAAAATAACACTTTAGAGAGAAAAAATTAGGAGGTTAAAATAGTCTCACAACTGAAAAAAAAAATCTATATAATTAAGTGGTTAGAGTACAGTACTGCAGGCTACTTCTGCTGACTGCTGGCTGCCTGCAATTTGGTGGTTTGAATCTCACCAGGATCAAGGTTGACTCAGCCTTCCGTCCTTCCGAGGTGGGTAAAATGAGGACCCAGATTGTTGAGAGCAAGAGGCTGACTGTAAAACTGCTTAGAGAGGGCTGTAAAGGGGTGTATAAAGCACTGTAAAGGGGTGTATAAGTCTAAGTGCTATTGTTACTACTCTTCCTTCCTTTTTTCTACCTCCTTCCTTTTCCTTTCCTTCCTTTCTCTTCTTTCCTTCCTTCCTTCCTTCTTTCCTTCCCGGTAATTAGAATGCAAGATTGCAGACTAACTCTGACCACAGCCAGCAGTTCGATCCTGACCAGCTAAAGGTTGACTCAGCCTTCCGTCCTTCCGAGGTGGGTAAAATGAGGACCTAGATCGTTGTGGGCAAGAGGCTGACTCTGTAAAACCGCTTAGAGAAGGCTGCAAAAGCACTGCGGAGCAGTATAGAAGTCTAAGTGCTATTGCTATCTATATAGTTATTTTATTTTATTTATTATTTATTTACCTCAATATAATATTTGGGAACAATCTCTCAGTTACCTCAATTTCTGAGGGGGGGAAAACGCTTATTCGGATCCCCTTTTACTGATTGTGAACCAGTTATTCAGACACGGTTCCTGTGTTGTTCAGTATGAATGTCATTACAGGTAATTCTCGACTTACGACCACAATTGAGGCCAAAAGTTCTGTGGCTAAGCGAGGCAGAGGTTTAATGGGGAGTTCTGCCCCATTTTATCCCAGTTGTTAAATGAATCACTGCACTATTAAGTTAATAACACAACTATTGGGGAATCTGGCTTCCCCATTGACTTTGATTTTCAGATAGTCACAAAAAATGATCACATGACCCTGGGATATAGCAACCGTTATAAATATGAGTCAGTTGCCAAGCATCTGAATTTTGACCAAGGGACCACAGGGATGCTGCGATGGTCGTAAAAATGATCATAAGTCACTCTTTTCAGTGTCATTATAATTTAGAACGGTCACTAAATGAAGGTAAATCAAGGACTACCTATATTTGGATCAGCCTCATTTAAATATACTCCTAAACCAGGGGCCTTCAAACTTAACAGCTTTAAGACTTGTGGACTTCAACTCCCAGAATTCCTCCTCCGGTCATGTTAGCTCAGAAATTCTGGGAGTTGAAGTCCACAAGTCTTAAACTTGCTAAGTTTGAAGACCTTTGGCCTAAACATTTCCCCAAGCCATTTTCACTTAATTACTTGGGAATTACCTTGGTTCTGGGCAAAAGAAACTAGAAATTACAAGATGTGGAAGCCTATTGGATCACACCTAGAAATAATGGAGATAGGAAGAAGCTTTTGGACTCCGTGAGAAGCAGCTGTGTACTGGAAACAGAATTCAGTGCCTCAGGAATATACCACTGAAAGATCATCTTTCAAAACAAAACCATGCAAATCTATTCAAAAGAACCTAAAGGGAAAGAAATTGCTAACCTGTCTACAGATTTCGCAAGCACCTCGATGGCAGCGTTGTGAACATCTATGAATCTCACATTCAAGGACTTTGTCGCAACTATCTCCACAAGTAGGCACGTCTTCAGTACACGGCAAAGAAAATTCTAAAATAAAAGCGAAATTGAAACCATACAAATTGCTGCTGTTTAATACCCAGAGAAAAACGCAAGGTTGTGTTTTCACCTGTTTTTGCATTTATCTCCAAGAAATTTCTTAACATAAACTATATTATAATATCATGATGTTATAGTCGTGATATGACAATGTAATGATATGCTATGATTACAATGAAACAAATGACACTATGAATTAGGTTTTGTAAAGTTGAATTTTGCTCGAAAAGGATGATATAAATGTTTAAACAGAGTCTAATAAGTTTAATATGTTTAGTTGATTTACATAATATGAATTTTAATAATGTATTTTGAAAGGAAAGACTGATGTTGTACACAAAAGATATGTACCAACCGACACACTGTACAATGGAAAGATGGTTGTAATTGATGTTTTATGTTTGTATTTGTAAATGTTTGTTGTCAAAATAAAATAAAAACTTAAATATACATACATACATACATACATACATATATTGCTTCTAGACATGGTGGTGTTTTGAATATCTTGATTTTTTTTACACCTCTAATCAGATGCATAAGTAGTTCCAGGCAGAGGTGTTGGGCATCATTTACAGCCACTTTTCAATAACCCAGTTCTTTTTAACTACTTTCATTTTTCTGTATTTCGCTCGTTCTTAATGCAATTTGTATCACAACTGTTTGAGGAAAATTGTATTAAGCAACTTACTTAATGGTGAATAAAAAAGACAGCGGAGAAGGAAACTTACTTGATTTCCCACAAGGACAAGACCTTCTCCCAGATCTGGGACATTCTCCACAGGAGCCGCGATGGCAAATTTGTTCACAAACGTGATAGCCACAAGACAAGGTTCGCCCACAAATCTTGTGAGAAAATACGCATAGCAATGGCAAGTAAGGGACCCAGAAACTATTCAAATATAATTCAACAAACTACAAGAAGAAAAGCAAGTTCTCCAAATAAATTAGCACATAAAGAACTAGTTCGATACCTGTGCTTCGCTACAAAACTATGTGGTTGGGCTTAGTTTGGGGGGAGGAAAATAAGGAACAAAAATTCTGCCTCTGCCTATCAGCATCCATTGGTATTCATCAGAGAGAGAGAGTTGAGGGCTGTTTGGAAACTGAAACAGTATTTGCTGTGTGAGCAAGGAGACAGCAAGGAGCCTGGGCGTGGCTTAGCTCAACTGTTCTGTACTAAAGCTGCCTGGTGCTGGGAAATTAAAATTGAAAGTGAAACCCCTCTCCTCTGCTTGTGTTTTGCATTTGGAACAGATTTCTTTTCAGGTGGGGAGGGGGAGTAGAGCTGCTTAGCATCAGAGCGTGTTAATAATAATAATATACGAAATACTAATGCCCTGATGGCCATTTCAAAAAATCCTTTCTTAGTGAGCACCTAGAAGTCAAGAGGAACATAGGTGCCAAATTTCAAGTTTGTAGGCTTTACGGTTCTGGAGATTTTGTGATGATGCATGAGTGGGGTGGATGGATGGATGGATGGATAGATAGATAGATAGATAGATAGATAGATAGATACGTTGCCGAAATGTTGCTACAACTTTAAAAGCACAACTATAATGACATGGGAAAATACCCGAACAAAGCTGAATACCATACATATAAATACCCACGAAAACTTAAGAAAACACACATATACATACATATATATATGTATATATACATGTATATATGTGTTTATATATATATATATATATATATATAGAGAGAGAGAGAGAGAGAGAGAGAGAGAGAGAGATAAAAAAACATAGAAATAAATGATTTAAAGCACCACAGCAGGACCTGATCTGCTAATATTCACTAGGCTACAGTCCTATAGGCCCCAATCAGTCTAAACAATTTTCCAGTGGGGAATTAATGGGAAGGGAAGGGAAATAATGGGATTGAGGGGACCCGTCCTATATCATGGAATAAAAAAACAGATGGCAAAACTCTAGATCCTAAGTTATATTGCTGGACAGACATGTCAAACTCAAGGCACATGGGCCAGATCCAGGCCACAAGGTGCTTAGATCTGGCCTCTGGGCCATCCTGGGGACAGCGAGGGGACCGGCCCCTGCTGCCTTAATTCGCCCCAGCCAGCAACCAAAGGAAAAACCCGAATGCAGCGGGCCAGAAGGCAGTTCAGCCATCACGTCCCTCTCGTTCCTTCTCCTTGGCCCCTGGGCCCAGATGCAACCACTGCTCCTTGGCATAGCCGGGGCTAGGCTTACAATTACATCCCCCCGCCATGCCGGGAGCCCGGCTAAAGGCTAAGCACCTCAGCCTGGCCTTGCCAAGGAAGTGGGCAGCAGCCGAACTTACACCGTGTGCCTCTCCAACAGAGGTTCATGAGGTGACACCCCGCCCCTCCCGCCAGGGAGCCTGATGACTTGCCTCTTGTGGAGGATTTTGTCGGGGCACTCAAAAGGCTGCCCCAACTTTATTCTGCAATGGAGATGGCAGCAGAGTCGGACAGTAGGGAGGAACATGGGCCAGTCCAGGAGTCTGGGGAGGGCTCGGATGAGGGGTCTGCATCCGACACAGAGACGGGGCCAGGGCCATCTGAGAGTTATGTGCTGATATCCGGAGCCTCCAGAATCTGACAGCAGCGAGGCAGAGGAACAGGGGGAGCCTGTTCCCAGTGCGCGCTTGCACAGAGCTGCCAGAAGGCAAGAACAGTTAAGACAAAAGGAGTGACTCGGAAGTGAGGCTGGCAGATGACTGGCCCCCTCCCAGAAGATATAAAGGAGAAGCAAAGGGACATGAGCCTTTGCAGGAAGCAACTTTATTAGTTCTGGTCGGTTTAAATTCTGAAGCTCTGTGTTGGCTTTGTGCTCCGTTTGGCCCTGTACAGCTAATTGGCAATTTAGTCGTTGGCAGCGTTTCAAGGGAGATAAAGGTGGGTGCTTATCAGCCTTATCCCGAAAGACTGTGGCAGACTTCTGTTGGACTATTCATAAACTGTTTGGGACTCATTACGGGTTGTGAATGCATATCATTCACAGCCGTTGAAATTTTAAAAAGGGGCGGTTTTGGAAACAACGTGTGATTGTTACTGCCTCAGGAAGCCTTGGTCAGAACAGTGGGGGGCCGGTCCCTCACTGTCTCCGGGGCAGCTCCATAGGCAAGATCTAAGCATCTTGCAGGCTGGATTTCGCCCATAGGCCTTGAGTTTAACATGTCTAGGTATAAGGTCTCCTGCTAGGCTAGAGAATTGGACTAGTAGATCCCTTCCAGCTCTATTCTGAATTTGAGATTTCAAATTCTCTGCACGTATGTGCCAGCAAGTCACACTGCAATTGTCATACCGACTTCCTGAACATCTGAACTGGAACATATTTTTTTTCTATTTCAATCTTAAAACCCCTGCTCTTAATGTCAAGGCATCCTTTTCTTTGGGCCAATGTAGTAGGGGGGTTGTTATGATAGTTAATAACATTGTAAACAAATCTGCTGTTTATGAAGAAACTTACCTCATCGCACTGCCATAAAGGACTTGCACACTGTCTTTCTGCTACTTGTTTACCACAGACACAACTTTGTTTGCTGACTCTAGGGCATGGTTGGCAATCCCCTAAAAGTGAGATGAAACTAATGATCAGGAACCAGCATGGAAAGAGAACATTTTAAATGTATGCCCATTGAGGGTTAGGGGAAAGGGAAAACCTCATCAATAAGAGACTTTTTATTCCTTTGATCTGCTAAACAAATAATTCCCTCATCACTGTCAAACTATTTACTAGGTCTGCATTACTATTACTATTAATCCTCGCATCCTCCCTTTCACCCATCTCCTCCCACTTACGACTGTATGACTGTAACTTTGTCACTTGTATCCTTACGATTTATATGGACTGTTTCCTAATATGATTTGATTGCTTATTATATCCTATGACTATTAAGTGTTGTACCTGATGATTCTTGACTCTTGACGAACATCTCTTTTCTTTTATGTACACTGAGAATATTTGCACCAAGACAAATTCCTACTGTGTCCAATCACACTTGGCCAATAAAGAATTCTATTCTATTCTATTCTATTCTATTCTATTCTATTCTATTCTATTCTATTCTATTCTATTCTCTTTCTCCTATTCTACTCTATTTTATTCTGCATTCTATTCTATTCTATTCTCTTTCTCTTATTCTATTCTATTCTATTCTATTCTATTCTATTCTATTCGGCATTCTATTCTATTCTATTCTATTCTCTTTCTCCTTTTCTATTCTCTTTCTCCTATTCTATTCTATTCTATTCTATTCTATTCTATTCTATTCTATTCTATTCGGCATTCTATTCTATTCTATTCTATTCTCTTTCTCCTATTCTATTCTCTTTCTCCTATTCTATTCTATTCTATTCTATTCGGCATTCCTATTCTATTCTATTCTATTCTCTTTCTCCTATTCTATTCTCTTTCTTCTATTCTATTCTATTCTGTTCTATTCTATTCTATTCTATTCGGCATTCTATTCTATTCTCTTTCTCCTATTCTATTCTCTTTCTTCTATTCTATTCTATTCTATTCTATTCTATTCTATTCTATTCTATTCTATTCTATTCTAATCTAATCTATTCTTCATTCTATTCTAGTCTGTTCTATTCTATTCCATTTGTGAGCCATCAAATCTATTCAGAACTCACAGCGACAAAAGAAACATAATGTAACAGAATGAGGAATTATCCAAACAAAATCTTTGAAGAGTACAATTTGTACCTGGATGACAAGGATTTCCACAGTTGTGTTGCCCACAGGGCAACTTTCTCCCACAGGGCAGTTGACAAGACCATTCTTTCATGCTGCATCTCCGTGGCAATGGCTTAGCCTTTTGGCAGTAGCAAGTTATTATGACCATCTTTGGGCAAGGTGGACAAGGACCTAGGGAGCAAAAGACAAAATCAAGAAGTTAATGTACTAATACAGGCGAGACCTCAATTTGATACACGTCAGATGTCATGGGCCAGAATTCTAATGCACACCAACACTGGAAATAACAGACAAGTCGACTGTATTTTAGAATTGATGTCCAGAGGAATTGATGTTATTTGTGGATGATGCCACACTGCAAACGATGTCACAATGTAAAATTCCTTCCTCTGGACATCACTTATAAATGATGGTGAATACCTATGACTGACATTGTTTGCAATTTAACAGATGTTTGGGTGAGATGCTCCCTGCTCCCAGGCTAATCTGAGGTGCCTAGACGCCACTTTACTAATTAACAAAATAGGCCATGGAAATCTTCGCAGCTGAAAAAAAATTCATTATAAATATCTCACCCTACACAGTGATTTATCTATAAGAGTTATATACAGACATATACGTGGTAGGCAAAATACCTTACAAGCAATCTTCTTAACTCTACACAGAGAACTCTGCAATGAATACCAGACACAAGGAGAGAGAACATGCCCTCTAATGGCTGCCTTTATATAAACACCTCTTAAAGGGATAGAACCCATCCCCAGTCTTAAAGGGAAATATCCATGCTATGCTGATTCACTCTTATTGCATCAGCCTATATTGCATCAGCTTCACTGCTGGTTGGCTCTTAAATCCAAAGACCTTAACAAAGAGGCATTTTCATATTTTAATCTCATGTATTAACTCATGTATTGATGTCACTTTGTTGCATATATGAGCTAAAATGGTTCCACGGATGATTATAATCTGAAAACTCTCATTTACTGGTGGTGTTACATGCATATAATTCTGTATTTGTAATAGTTTACAAATAACCTCCTTAATATTACATACCTGGATGACAAAGCAATAGACACCTGTGTCCACAAGAAGGTTTGAAATGTCTCTCACAGACCTGGCCACAGGAATGTGGAACCAGCCAGGGATCCAGAGGTGGATCTTCAGTCTTCCCACAATAGCAGTAGTATCGAGTAGGAATCTCAGATCGCTTGTATTCAAACCTGCATTTTGGACTGAAAAGAAGACAAACAATGGGTCACATCCAGTAGTATTTGCTTCCTGCTTAATCTGCTCAAATGGGTCCATATGATGCGAGAGGATGCATTGTTACATTTGTTATGTTTAGCATGATTGAAGCAATACAGTCTGACGTTCGCTTACCAAAGCCTTTCCCCAAAATACGATGGATAGACTGTGAACAGTAAACTCAACTCAACTGAACGTTAACCAACGGAGAAACTCACAGATTACTTGTGTGCCAAATACAAATATTTTCAAGATCCAACAATTCTGAACAGAAGGCAAAGGTTGTGCACAATTTGGCTGAATTGGTCCTGGTGAATGTATCGCAGAGATAATATTCTTAACTTGTCCAATATTCAAGATGTGCTAGATTAGCTCAACAAGCTTCAAAATAAAAGTACCATTTATCAGCTTTGGAGCTTTACACTGAAGCTAAAATTGCAGCATTTACAGTGGAGGCTCCTTTTCAAAGTTATTGCTCCATCTTAACCCTCCAATGCATAAACCAGCTTTCAGAACGAAATCTTAAAAGCTTACCAGGGCCATGGATAATCTTTTTTCCCAAAATCATCATCTGTCAGAGGGGAAGATACTAAGAAAAGGCTATCCTTCGCCCACTTTTGTAGGCATGGCATGTGAAATATGCAGAAACATCCAGAACAACTCCAGACCTCGAAGAAAAACAAGGATATGTTTACAAGTCCTTCATATGCGTTGATCAAAACCGTAACATTTATTTAAAAATAAAGCAACTTAAGAGAAGATTGTCCGTCTGTCTGATGTGAAATACCTTGTTGTTTAAATGGCTGGGACAACCACCACATTAACTGTGTTTATCGTCAACTTCTGACAACATAATATTTTAGATGTCTTAGCCACAAATTAATAATGTTTAAGTTTCTTACTTTATTTCCTCTCCAAACTTTTCTTACTCCACTTGTGTTTAATAAGGTATTTTAAAATGCAAAGCCAAATACATCCCTACAGGTAGACCTCAACTTATGACTGGTAGCTAGGTAATGGAGCCCACAAAAAATACTTACAGCCCAGTTCCCAAGTTCTGACAGCCACTGCCCACTCCCCAGCTGTCAGGTGGCAACATTTTGGTCACTTGGCAACCAGCCTACATACCATTTACAGTCCTTTTGCTGAAAACTGATGATTATATGAGTTTTTGGCAAAAAAACGGCCCATAGGGTTCACTTAACAACTGCATTTGCTTAATGGCCTCTACAAAAAGAATTGTAAAATCAGGCCAGTCACATGGGTGTCTATTTTACAATCATCCCAACCTATGACTATAATGAGAAGGTTCTATTTAAGAGCCATAAGTTGAAGACTACCTGTATTGCATGACTATTTAAATATATTGCATTTCTGATGCAAATGATGTATTATACTATTTATAAAAGCTTTCCTTAAAGAAAAGAAACATTTCCTTAAAAACTTTTTTTTAAAGATTTTCATGACACTATAGGTGAATGATATGGCTTAGCTTCCCACAGGAATTATAACTCTATGATTGTCCTGTTTTAAGTTGATGGCTATTATTTCCTTGTGCTGCCAAGTTCTCGGCTCTTAAGTACTGGTGGCAAATCAGCAAAACTAAAAATTCTCCCAAAGTGATTATAACAAACATGGACAAATTCTATGAGGGAACATAAAATGACTAAAGGTTGTTATAGCTGTTATAGCGCAGTCACTCATGCCTCACTGATCTCTTGGCTGGTTTATGCAATTGTTCCAATGGGGATATATACCCCTAAAGAGAATTCAGAAGCTACAACTGATACAAAATGAAGCTACACAGGCAGTTCTGGAGGTCCTTAGGGCGGTGCATATAGACAGTACACATATATACTGGGTGAAACCAGGCTCAATAGCAGTAACTGTGAGAGGGATCTTGGAGTCTTAGTGGACAACCAGCTAAATATGAGCCAGCAGTGTGCAGCAGCAGCTGAAAAAGCCAATGCAATCCTAAATTGTATTAACAGAGGGATACAGTCAAGATCAAGGGAAGTACTAATACCCCTCTATAAAGCCTTAGTAAGACCACACCTAGAGTACTGCATCCAGTTTTGCTCATCACATTATAAAAGAGGTTGAGACTCTAGAAAAAGTAGAGAGAAGAGCAACCAGGATAATGAGGGACTAGAGACTAAAACATACAATGAATGGTTGCAGGAACTGGAACTGACTAGTCTAGTGAAGAGAAGGACCAGGGGAGACAGGATAGCAGCCCTCCAATATTTGAGGGGCTGCCACAGGGAGGAAGGGGGTCAAGTTATTTTCTAAAGCACTCGAAGGCCAGACAAGGAATAATGGATGGAAACTGAACAAGGAGAGATTTATTCTGGAGACAAGGAGAAACTTTCTGTCAGTGAGAACAATCAACCCATGGAACAGAAGTTGCCCTCGGAAGTTGTGGGAGCCTCATCACTTGAGACTTTCAAGAAGAGATTGGACTCCCATCTGTCAGTAATGGTGTAGGGTCTCCCACTTGGGCAGGGGGTTGGACTAGATGACCTACAAGGTTCCTTCCAACTCTGATTATCTGTTATCTGCATATAGCATTGCTGTTCCACAACTACATTGGTTGCCAATTTGCTTTTGAATCCAATTCAAGATGTTGGTTATTACTTTTAAAGCCCTTTAGGGCATGTGTCCAGGGTATCTGAGGTGCCACCTTGTCCCAATGGGATTGTCCTACACAATTCACTCCAGCTAAAGGGGTTTGCTACAAACCCCATCAGTCAAGGAATTTTGGCAGGTGGAGTCAAGGAGAAGGCCTTTTCTGCTATGGCCCCACCTTGTGGAGCATTGTACCACTAGACATGTGGTCTACCCCCACCCTTCTGGCCTCTGGAAAGTCTTTAAAGCCTGGCTTTGCCAGTTAGCTTGGAGCCCTTTGCTGAAAGTGGTTGATGGGGTAAGGGACAACTTCCTAACCCCGTGATGGCAAACCAATGGCACGTGCACCACAGGTGACGTGCAGAGCCTGTTAGGCATCCAGAAATTGTCCACGGCAATCAATCACTCCAAGACAAGCATAATCTCCAACTGATTTATTAGGAACAGCTCTGGTATGTCTATGGAAATTTCCAAAACTGAAAGTCATTTTCAGCTTGTTTCACAAAGTCCACCTTCTCTCCTCTCACTTCTCCCACTTCATTAATCACGAGAACCAGTTAACTGCAGCTGGAATTTCTTAATGCGACATACGAAATAACCTTGAACTTTCGAACTCCTCCACCCACCTTTCATTCCTTATAACATTCTTGGCAGCTGAATCTCAGAGCTGACAGAGCCATTTGTATGGGAGCCCCAGCCAAACATTGCACACAT